AGAAGAAGAAGAAGAAGAAGAAGAAGAAGAAGAAGAAGAAGAAGAAGAAGAAGAAGAAGAAGAAGAAGAAGAAGAAGAGGAGGAGGAGGAGGAGGAGGAGGAGGACTGTATGGTCCTTGATGCTCTCTGAGCTTGGTTGTTTTCTTGCAGACGTTTCATTACCCAAACTAGCTGCTAACCTCATCAGTGCTAGGAGAGAGTGGGGTTTATGGACAAGAGGAGGAGGAGGAGGAGGAAGGAAGGAAGGAAGGAAGGAAGGAAGGAAGGAAGGAAGGAAGGAAGGAAGGAAGGAAGGAAGGAACTCTTCTTCCTTACAAGACGGGCCATTCGTTTTTTTTGTTTTTTTTTTAGATTTATCCCAAGTATTTATCCCTAAACAGGGCATTGCGCTCACACCTGCTGGCAACGTTTCAGGGCTATCTAAATCCCAAGGCGCCCGGACTGGCCTCCCTTTGCAACGTACAGACAAAACCGAGAGAGCAGATTCTGCACCGAAAACCCACGCTGGGTGACTAATTCAGGTGGAAATTGGAGATTCCCAGCCTGCTCCAGTCCGTAGAATTCACCACCGCAGCCGAACCGCTTCCGTTGCAAAGCATTAAGTACCTGCACTTGTCATTTGCTACGGTCGCACCCTCAACCAGATGTTCAGGCTGGACAGAGCACTTGCCTCCACCTGGCGAGTCCTTCCCAGATGTTGCTGTTTGACGGGCGTTGCGGGTAGCGCCGCAGGATGTAAGCCGTTCGGAGTAAAGCCGCCTTTTGCAATTGACGGCTGCCGTCGTCGTTAACGGACGGGCTCTAGCTTTGTCTCGCAGGCGTCCCGGTTAGGGACGCTCGGATATTGGCCCGTCCCGATGTCAGCGCAGCTGCTGCTAATCAATTCGCCCGTCCATCTGGCCAGGATTTCACTCCGTCGCCCGTCTGCGCGGCTGAAGCGCGGTGGCTGCCGGCAGGCTGCAAGCGGAGGCAGCCTCCGCCGCGCAAGGCTAGGATCGTCCCCGAAGATTAAAAGCCCCGCCGCTCCGTTGGTGTCGTCCGTGCCCTGTTTTTCTGGGGAGGGATCCTGAATCCGGTTGCTCTCCAGGTAGCGCAGCGGAAGCCCTGCGCTCCTAAACGGCCAACAGGCCGGTATCCCGGTTACTAATCCCGCGCGCCCCTCCTTGCCCTCGCAAGGCAAGCGATCCTCGGCTTTGGCTGGATGGCAAGCCCAGTGAACAGGGGGGAAGGGGTGGTCTCCAACCACCTGCTTTGGTGCAAGCCTAAACTTGGGGGGAAAAGGCGCCCCCATCCGGAGCGCTTTCAAAGGCGCAAATCCACCTGGTCTGACTAGCCTCCCGTCTGGTGCCTTTTAGGATCGCTTGGTCGGATGTCTCCAACGTCCGTTCGGTAGCCGCCTCGCTCCTCGGGCGCAGAGAGGGTGGATCTGAGCTAACCCGGCTTGGTTTGCCCTTCAGACGGTCGGGAAAGCCGAGCTGTTGGCCGTGGATGCGTCTCCACGGAGTCCAAGCTGGAGGACTCGTGTCGGGAGAATCCAGGAGAAGCGGGAATCTTGCAGCGGCCGGCAACGATCCACTTCCGGCAGGATCGCCCAGGAATCGACCGATATTCCCACTAGAACGCGTCTCCAGGAGCTTTCCAGGGATCTATTAGGAGCAGGAAGGCGACTTTTTAAGAAAAGTCCAGTGGCCTTTTGAAAAAGCACTTTTGGGACAATCAGGATCTGGATGACTGAGAATCTCCACAGAGACAAATCACTGCCCGCCTCCCCACCTTTTCTAAATAAAATCCTGGGCCACACGCGAGTGCTTTGCAAGAAAATAAATTCATTTATTGTCAAAGCATCCAACATACCCAGATAAACTATAAAGTTTTGATCTCTTTTTTTTTTTTCAAGAAAAAAAAAAGGGAGGGAAGGGAGAGGAAGGAAAAGAAACACGCAGCTATTCAGACTTCATTTCACTGGCACAAAATTACACTTTGTACTGTATTCAAAGAAGGTCCCTATTTACAGAACTTAAGACATTTTGCACCAAAGTCCTTAAATCTTTTTCCATTGTGAAACATGCATTTCCCCATCGGAAACATAAAATGAATTCAAGTCTTTCTGGATTTTATTACTATTATTATTTTTTTTGCAGAGGAACAGGAAAAAGAAACTTATCGAGTAATGCAGAAAAGCTTTGCATCCATTCTCATTTTTTTTTTAAATTTTGCTTTATATCTAAAATAAATTTTTACCCTTACATATAATTATTACAGCTAAACCATAAGTGCTTAATAATTTAAGTAGAAACGTATGACAAATGCATCAATATGTTGCAATATATGACATTTTAAAAATGTACTTTTAAAAGTTATTTACTTTTTTTGGAAAGTGAAAATGCGTGCATTTGAAACAAAAGGGAGTGGACCAACCCACCCATCGCCTCTCTCTATTATTATTATTATTATTATTATTATTATTATTATTATTATTATTATTATTATTATTATTATCGTCATCATCATCATCATCATCATCAAAGTAAACATATACACAGGCATAAAAATTTCAACAGTGGTTTTGGGTGCTCTGCTTTTGTGGCCATCCACAATGTCCAAAATACATTTAAAAGCTTTCAAAACTCAGAATGGCTGCAATTGGAAATGGACATGAAGCCTGAGGCTACATTTGTTTACTTTGAAAAAAAGCCCAATTTAGCCCAATGCAACTGTCCTCAAAATAAAGATGTACAGTACAAGATTTCATTTCAAAACCTAGTGGGGTTCTTGTGAAAGCATAAATGCAGACTGCAGAAGTATTTATAGCTACAAAAAGCTGCTTCATGTGTTGTGCTGTGTTTCAGCAAGAACTGCCAGTTGTTGAAAACAGTTACTTATGGATTACTCACAAGTAAGTGGGTTTTAGATCTAACTCTACTAACCTTATTTTTTTTCACTTATAGGGGAAAACCTTCAAAGCCTGGTTCATAATCTTTACTTTTTCTATCTATTAACGCCCTTTCCTTATTTACCATTGCCTCAATTGAATTAAGGAGAATAGTAGACCTTCTTTGCATCAAGAGAAATATGCTTTTTGATTTCCATAGTTTTATATGCATATGCACACCAAAAAAACCCGCTGCCCCAAATATGTATGGGTCTGGTTTGGTAATTTCCCATAATTTCCATTCCACTGGAGCAGTGCATTTAATGAACAATGTGATTTTTGTAACTATTCCACAAGTTTAGGGAGACCAGAATGACACCTGAAAGGGGCTTTGAAAGATTTTCCACTCAATGCATTTTTTTAATAGCCAACAAGGCCAATAAATGTAGCTGCAGGAGAGACCCAGACACATAGTCCCACAATCTGTCCATCTTATTACAGAGAGAGGAAACTATAGACTAGGTTCCTTCCATTGTATACCATGGTTTCTTGAAGCCATATGAGTGAATTCATGCAATGTCATAAACTACCATGGCTGAGTTTACATAAACATGTAAACATACAACAAACCACTAACCAGCCACATTTCAACTTAGCGCAAAGCAGAAATCTCATCTCAGACAAGGCATTCTCTATGTTTCTGTAGCACAACAAGCCAACATTGTTTGTAGATTCCTGTGTTTTATGAACCACCCATTGTAACTTGCATACCGTGTTTTAGTGAGGTGCTAACTTCCGCCAATTGCAATTTATTAATTAAATCAGGGGTCTTCAAACTTGGCCCTTTTATGACATGCAGACTTCAACTCCCAGAATTCCTCAGCCAGCAAGGAGTTGAAGTCCGCAAGTCATAAAAGGGCCAAGTTTGAAGACCCCTGAACTAAATCATAAACAAGCCAGCATAAACTTGTTGCACAAGCACAGCTAAGATTTCATTGGGTCCTCTTGCTATTGGTGTATGGCCTGTGGCCACCCATTCATTCTTTAGTGATGGGTGCTCCAAAATGCAATTTAGAAAAAGTGACAGGTCAGGATTTTTTTTCTTCTTCTCCTAATCACCCATTAGGCCAAAACTGAAAAGACTGAGGGGAATATTCCTAAAATCAAAGACTTTTGCAACTGCTAACATTTCAGGGTTTTGTTTCCCATTCCCATTCCAGAACCGTACCGATAACAAGACTTCAGAATTAAATCCCACCCACCTTCTCTTTTGCTGACATTGCATCCATTTTCTTCCTTTACTAGAAAACCGTGCTTCGTATTTTACACGCCGGGGGAGCATGCACCCCTCCCACAAGGCCCTGCCAGGGTGTGCGTTTCTTTGCACCGCTCTACACCACTGTCCTTCCCTCCTCCTCCAACTCTTTGGGCACATTTACACCAGACAGTTAACTCCTCCGTCCGCCTCCTCCGGAAATGCACCGTTCCTTGATGCCTCGCAAAAGCACCGCCCCGCCCCGCCCCACCCCACCCCACCCCCGGCCGCTTAAGGTCGCCAAGGCCCGCAGTGCTTGGAAGAAGACCGTAGGCGCGTCTGCTGCGGAAGCCGGGGGCCGGCGGGGTCCGGCGTGTGGAAAAGCCCCGGTTGCAAAGCGGCAGCCGCGCCCGGGCCCGGCCTTCAGTTGTGCGAGGTCATGTGCCGCGAGAGGTGGTGGCGCTCGCGGAAGGACTCGTTGCAAATGGGGCACTTGAGCTTCTCCTCGCGCCGCCGCTTCACCAGCGGCTCGAGCGCGTACTCCTTCTTGTGGTGGGAGCGCATGTGGTAGACGAGGTCGGAGGTCATGCGGAAGGAGGCGTTGCACTTGGCGCACCAGTTCTGCGCCGGCAGGCAGAGCGAGGTGAAGGAGGGCGGCAGCAGCGTCAGCGCCGAGGGCAGCTGCAGCTGGAGAGGCGCCGCCGCCGCCGCCACGGCCGAGCTTTTGGGCCAGAAGGTGGTGGCGTAAAGGAAGGGGCTCTGCTTGGGCAGCCCGCCGCCGCCTCCGCCTCCGCCGACCCCTGACCCGGCCCCGCCGCCGCCTCCTCCTCCTTCGCCGCCCGCGCCCGCCCCGTTGCCCAGCTCTCCGGGCGCGCCGGGCAGTTTGAGCGGCTCCGAGGCGTAAAGGCGCGCGGCTCCCTCGGCGCCTGCGTGGCAGCCGCCTTCGGCCAGCGCGCTCAGCTTCCCGCCCAGCACCAGCTGCGCCGCGTGCGCCGAGAAGGTGGAGCGCGCCGGCTGCGAGAAGGCGCTCTTGCGCTCCTCGGGGCTGCCCGCCGGGCCGGAGGGCGGCGGCGGCTGCGAGGAGGAGGAGGAGGGCACGGTGGAGAAGGCGCTGGCCCCGGAGCGCGGCCCCAGCAGCGAGGGCAGCGGCGGAGGCTTCTCCGCGGAGGAGGCGGAGGCGGTGCCTGCTGGGGAGCCGCGCTCTTTTTCTTCGTCCCCGCCGCCGCCTCCGCCGTCCCCGCCGCGGGAGGCTTTCTTCACCTCCACGAAGGCGCTTCGCTTGGCCTCGCCGGTGTCCGGGCTGGGCGGGCCGTAGAGGCGGCTGGCGTCGTCCAAGCCGAAGTAGCTCCCGGCCGGCCGGTAGTGCTGCTGCGGGGTGCAGGCCAGCTCCTCCTTGGGCGACGAAGGGATCGGCCTCTCCAGGCGCCCCCTGCCGCCCGGCGGGCCTCGCTCCTCGGCCGGCGTGTCTCCGCCGGAGTATTTCCGCTTCGCCTTGCCCGCGGGGCTGGCGCGGCCGTCCAGGCCGGCCGCCGGCTGCTCTCGCCTGCCGGGGGAGCCGCTCCCGCTGCTCGGCCGCGAGTTCTCCAGCTCCCGGGCCAGGTTGTGGAAGTCCGTGGAGGGCTTGGTCACGGCGCCGTTGCTCGGGCCGTTGCTGTCCGGGCCGCAGTGGTAGTGGCGGCGGTGGGTGGGGGGCTGGATCTGCGGCTGGCCGCCGCCCTGCTTGGCCTGGAACTTGCTGGCGCCTTCGTGCTCCTTGGGGCTGCTGCTGTTCTTGGGGCTGGAGTCCCCGGCTGGGCTGCTGTCCGCCCCGGGCAGCCTCTTGGGGCAGCGGAACCGCAGGTGCGCCACGTAGGGGAACTCGAACTGGAAACGCTGGCCACACTCCAGACAGGTGTGCGGAGAGGAAGCTGGGGCGGGACAGAAAAGAGAAGGGAGGTCACCTGTTGGTCACCTGTTGAGCCAGACCGACCGGCCAAGTTGTCAGACGCACAAAACTTTGAGAAGGAACGTGGAACACCACTGACGGTTAGACCAACGGGAATCCAGCTAAAAACCTCTGCCTGGTTTTTAAAACCCATGAGCTAACTGAGAATAGACAACATTAGGATTGTGTTTGTCAGCTCTGACCTAATAAGAATCCAAGCTTCCTGCCCTAATGAGCGCTGTTCTCTTAACACATCTCTTTTAGAAGTAGCCCCACTGAATGGTGGCCTGTGCAGAACTGCAACCAAAAATGCTGGCTTGGTTCGTGCAATGTAGTCGACCGTGTTCTGAGCCATGATACTAGACCCCAAAAATAGACTAGGACTCACAATTTACTAACCACAGTGGCCAGACTCGCCATACCTCATGCTGTGCTTTGCTTCGTGTAGGGTTTAGCATTTATTGTACTTATATCCCACATTTCTTCCCGGAGGTCAAGGCAGCGAACAGAATAAATAGTGCAGGCTGCTAGGTTCGCTGTTCATAAAGAAGAAAGTAAGGTTATTTCTGCCTCTGAAAATGTAAAGTTTAATTTCTCCTGGGGGCTCAAAATCTCCTTTTCATTTGACTATTTATAGCCCACCTTTATTATTTTTATAAATAACTCAAGGCAGTGAATATATCCAAACACACCTTCTCCCCACAGAAGTGAGGTGGGTGGACTTGAACTCATAGGGCTTTTGCCTTCTAGAGTGGTGCCTTAATCACTGGACCTGTGAGGTTGGTTAACTTGGATATGGTGGCTTACAGGCAAGTTCCTGGCTGAAAAGGACCTCGGTTCTGTTTTCTAAGCCCTAACTTCTCACTACCTCTCCCTGGACCACTAAGAGCAATCTTTCATGCAGCTATTCAGATCAGCACCTGTTGAGTTCAGGATGCCCATTGAAGGGACTTTAGTCCAAAACATCTGAAAAGCACCAAGTAATGTGTTTCTCATGGCTGATTACGAGCTATTGTTCTTCACACTCTAGGTGAGCACCACTACCACCAACCTGTCATTTTCATCATCCTACTAGATGCATCCATAAATCTAATAAACAGAAAGTCGGGAGGTGAACAGATGTTCACAAAAGCAGCTGTTGGTGCATTCTGGAAGGTCTAGAGCAGCTGTTCTCAACATCAGCAGCTTTCAGATAGGTGGACTCCCAGAATTGGTGATTCTGGGAAATGAAGTCCACCCATCTTAAAGCTGCTGAGATTAAAAAATGCTGCGCTAAATAATGTCATTTGAAGATAATTAGGGAGGATGGTTTGTCTAATGCAGGGGTCTTCAAACTTGGCCCTTTTATGACTTGTGGACTTCAACTCCCAGAATTCCTCAGCCAGCGTGCCTGGCTGAGGAATTCTGGGAGTTGAAGTCCACAAGTCATAAAAGAGCCAAGTTTGAAGACCCCTGGCCTAATGAGATGAAGGTGAAGCAGTCAACCGCTCCCCTGCCCCATAAAACAGGAGCAGAATAAAATGGAGACCTTCCATCTGAACACAGACCCAAGCTACTGTAATTTCAACCATGGGGATCATTCTCTCCTTTTTTTTAATAGAACCCCATAATCCACATGCATTACATTTATCAATATTCAGTCAGGCTACTTGAAGACCCAGTGCTAAACCTGTCTAGTGTCAATCTTGGCTCGTGGTGAGTGTTTGCGAATGCATGTTTTGTCCGTGGTGTATGCCGGCATGCTGCATGAACCCATCTTTGGTTAATTTCTTGATTCAACAGAACAGGTTAACCAGAAAGTAGGCTAATTGGGAATTATTGGTCAATGCAGCCCCTGCAGCAAATGACATCAAATGGGGCATTTTGTTTAAAACTCCTGTGAAGCATCTTGCCAGATGACACGGAGCTGCGTCAGGATCCTAGCAACAAGTCAACTGTCAGATTGCCTATTGGAAGGTACCCCTCTTCCGCCCAAGGATGGCGAACCGACTTCGCTCCCTGGCTTCTCCTGGGGGGGTGGCGGAGGGGGGGGGAAGCGCTCTCTGAACTGAAAAAAAAAACGCCTAAAAAACCCTTAAATCCTCAGCCCGGGGGACAAACTTGCCCCGCTTGTGGGGCGGGATCCAACAGTAGAAAAGGAGATTGGCTTCTGCAGGGGATCACACCGTCAGTTGGTCGTGAGCGATCCCTTGGAATTTGGGAGCGCGCGTGGGGGCGGGGCTGGCTCCCCCCCCCCCCAACACACACGCAACTCCTCCGCTCTGCAACGAGTACTTAAAACCTCTTAACAGATTGCAGCGTTTCAGCTAATCCGGCGTTTCCGGGACCGTTTCAAATGGGATGCTGTGGATTACAGTAATTAAGCGTCCATTTGTGCCCGGGATGTTTGGTTTTAACCCGCTCGCTTGCCAGCCAGCCAGGCTGGCAGGGCGACCGTTTTTCAGAAGGAAAGCTCCCGTCGAGTCAGCCTTAAATCCGCCGGGACTCCGGATTCAAGGACCTCCAGGAAATGCTCCAACAGACAGACAGACAGACACACACACACACACACACACACATACCCCTCCTGCGAGTTGTCACACACACACACACACACACACACACACAGAGAGAGACACCTCTCCTGCGAGTTGTCACCTACCCTTCATCTTGCTCTGAGACCTGGCGGGGTTGAGCAGCAACAGCTCGGTCAGGTCCTTCCCGTACCACACCAACAACTCCTCGTCTTTGGCAATCCTCCGCAGGGAGCGGTAAAACAACTGTCCGTTCTTGATGTAGGCTTCCAGGTTCTGCTCCTCTTTGTCCCGAGCCGACTGGACCAGGCGAAGCCACATCAGGCCTTCGGAGGAGCCGTTGGCCGCCGAGGTGTCCACCTGAAGCGGGAGAAGGGAGAGGCGGCGGAGGCTGAGTGAGTGACTGGCTGCCCAACTACTCAACAACAACACCCGGCCTGGGACCTCCAGGAGGAGACGGCTGGGTGCGGGGTGGCAAAGAAACGAAAGCCAGGGCTGCGTTTCTTTTTCGTTGGGATCGTTAACGCCGACCGTGTTTTGAGCAGCCGGGCAAGTTTTCCCCTGAACCCCCCCTGAACCCCGAAATGACCGGCTATGGCTTGGCCGGATCTGGGGCCCCGTGGATTCGCTCTCCTAGGGAAGTGTTTGCAACCACACCTGTCCTTCGGTGGGATGGGACCTTTCAGCGGAGGAGACCTACAGAGAGAGCTGAGATCCTGGACAGGAGAGGAACTAAGCCCAGCCAAGGAGGTCAACGCGGAGGGTCCGAAACAGACCCCTCCCCCCCCCAAATTGGCCGGAAAAGCAAGGCGTCGTAGTATATACAGCACCATCCCAGCAAGCCCACCTGCAGCCGGGAGCAATTTTGAGCCTTTCCCTCCCGACCCCTGACTGCCTGCCATCTCCGGAGCTTCCCAACGACTGAGATATTTGGTGGTGGTTGTTGTTAGTTGCGAAGAAGTCGTGTCCGACCCACTGCGACCCCATGGACCACGTTCCTCCAGGCCTTCCTGTCCTCTACCATCTTCTGGAGTCCATTGAAGCTCAGGCCTACTGCTTCAGTGGCTCCGTCCAGCCCCCCCCCCACCCCCCATTCTATTGGACACCTTCCAACCTGAGGGGGCTCATCTTCCAGCCTCATCTCTTTTTGCCTTTTGGTGCTGTCCATGGTGAAGCAGGAGGCATGAGCTTCAATGGACTCCAGAAGATGGTAGAGGACAGGAAGGCCTGGAGGAACGTGGTCCCTCAGGTCGCGATGGGTCAGACACGACTTCGCAACTAACAACAACTGTCCATGGGGTTTTCATGGCAAAGATGCTGGGGTGGGTTGCCATTTGGGGCAGCCTTATTAGGAAGGAGATTTCTCTACGCCCGGTTCTAGATTTTCTTTTCGTGGGCTGGAGAAGCCAAAGTTCCAGCAATAATTTTTTTAAAAAAATAAATGGAAGAAGAACCCCGCTTTTTATTCAGCTCAGTTAACGGGACCCCATCCTTCGAAGGTGTGGCTCCTCTCCGCCCTCAGCCAAATCTTACGGTGAGCTGCTGAATCGATTCTCCGGAGCTGGGGGGGGGCGCGCGTGGGGAGCCCACCGGGGACCCTAAGGACAGCAAGGAGCGGGGACGCGAGTTCATTTGGACGCCTAGACTGCCTCGGAAACTGCTGGCAGTTGGAGGGCGACCTAAGAACACCCGGCTTCAGACTTGCATTTCTTTTCGCCCCGACTGGCCGGTTGACGGTTCAGCGGGCGCCGGATTTCCAAAGACCTCCGGATGCGTCGCTTTGAACCCTCCGGGGGCCGGGGGCGCCTGGAGACGAAGGCAGCGAGACCCGACCTGCTTCCCTCCCTTCTAAACCCCGCAGGGGGACAAAGGCCGTTTTGAGGAGGGGGACCGAGCTGGAACGGTCAGTAAAGCATCTCCTGCTCCTTCGCGTTTCGTTCCGCGGACTCTTTGCGCCACGAAGGAGCTACAAACGACGCCTCCCCTTCCTTTTCCCCCTCCGTTTTTAGGGAGGCCGGCAGTTCCGACAACGCGTCTGCCTGGAAGGCAGTAGTAGGGCGCGGAGCGAATCCGTTTGCCGCGTCCTCATCACACCTGGAACTAAGCGGACGGGGTTCTCGAGCAGACGCGCGTCAACAGAAGCACCAGTGCTCCGTTGGTTGTCTGAATGCCTTCCCCTACCTTCTTCACTGACCTGGTCGCTCCTGCCCACTGGCTGAACCGACTCAGCGGAGAAAAGCAGGCCGGCCCTGGCAGGTCGAGCACCCCGGGCTGCCTCCCTCCAACGCGGCCAGGGCTGCGTTCCTCCACGGGGCCTCTTTTCCGGGGCCGGAAAGGGACAGTTGGAGGGATGGGCTCGCCTCGGTTTCAGCCCTGCGTAGCTCAAGCTTTCCCGGGCTGACGGGCGAGGGTTTGGCTTCTCTCCGTCTCTTCTCCCCCCCTTCCTTCCTTCCTCGCCTTGCCTGCCCCCCCCTTACCCGGAATATATAGGGGACGGTCCTCTTGTCGGTGGACTTGAGCGCCACAAAAGCGATGCTGTCGTAGAGCGAGGTGTGGCTGAGCACGCAGGGGCCGAAGATGGCGTTGTCCGGGATGTCGCAGGTGGTGTAGACGCTGGTGAAAATGTCCGTCAGGCATTGCTGGACGGCTTTGGCGTCTCCATCCCAGATGCTCCGGGGCACCCCGCTTTCGTCCATGGCTGGAAACGGGAAAGGAGGAGAGGAAAGGGTCACAGAACCACTGGGAAACGAAGCCCGGCTCCTCCCGGGGACCTTCCCCCCCCCCAAGGAACGGAGACCCTTTTGGCTTCTGCGGACCCGCCTGTGACACCCTTTCCCAAAAGGAACCGGCCCCGTCACCCCAAGTGCCCCGAATTCAAGAGCGGCTCTTCTGATTTTCTGCCCTATTTTAAAAGCAAGGAGAGAGCTACGGAGCCTAAACAGAAACGGCCAGACACGATTTTAAGTCATCCACACGTATAACCCACCGGTTATATGCTATAGAGTTCCACAGGCAGAAGTTTCACTTCTGGAAATCCAGGGAATTATGGCCGAAGGAGTGCATCTCTAGCAACTTCTTTAAAAGACACTCCCAAATTCGTTTTTCCGAACAAAATAAAACTCTGGTTCATTGTAGAGATTTACCCAGTCAGTTGGAGCTTACTTGCTGAGCCAACTGACAATTCTGTAAATTGCTACAATTTATCTACCCCTCGACACATCCAAGCTTTGTATTCGACATGCTATCAGAACAGCTCTCCCCCCCCCCCCGCCCCAAAGTTAAGCCCTCCTGGAAGCGGAGATCCCAGCTCGGTGGGAGAGAGATCAATGGAAGAAGCCCGCGACCTGCCTTTCCTAACCGCCTGCCCCAAAACGCCCGGACGCCGAGAGGCTTGCTTTCCTCTCCCCCCACCAAGGTACGCAAGGCCCGGGAACCTTTCGCTCCTTCAAACCGCCCGTAGGAGGAGAATTTTGGCCGGCCTTTGGCTCAGCCCACCGAAGGCCAAACCGGGTCCCTTTCCAACCTCCGGTTGAACGGCCTCGGTTCTAACTGGGAAGAGCAAAGGCCAGCCTGGAGGCGTCTTTTGTTGAGCCACCCGAACGGGCATTGAGGAGGAGGAGGAGGAGGGAGGAGGAGAGAAGAAGAAGAAGAAGAAGAAGAAGAAGAAGAAGAAGAAGAAGAAGAAGAAGAAGAAGAAGAAGAAGAAGAAGAAGAAGAAGAAGAAGAAAGAAAGAAAGAAAGAAAGAAAGAAAGAAAGAAAGAAAAACCGGGAACCCGAGAAATGCAACATTCCAGAAAGGAGGAGGAGAAGGAAAAGCGAGACTTTCTGAACAATTTAGGAGCCTAGAAAGGGACCAGAAGGCCAAGGAAACGTCTCCGTGGGTTTCCCTTCCGCCCTGTCCTGTCCTGGGGCAGAATTCCCTGCGGCGGAGCCCAACGGTCGCTTCTCTATTCCTACCTGCCCTGTTACCAGCTCGGAACTACAGAGGGAAATCTCCTTCTCCCCTCCAGCTCCGGCGCTTCGTTCCGGGGCTCTGCGCTTGGCGAAGTCTGGAGGGGGTCCCCCTCTGCCTCCGCCCGGGCCTGGCCCTCCCCCCTCCCTCCCCTCCCTCCCTTCCCCGCCCCCTGGGGGGACCCAGTGACGGACGGGTCGGATTTCCAGCGCCTTGACAGTGTCGCTGATTTGGTGTCAGCTAACCTTTCACGGAAGCCGACAAGAGGGAACGTATGTCGGCTCATTACCATAATCCAGCAGTTTCCCTGGGAGACTTTAATTAAAAGCAGCGAGCAGAGGTAATTATTTCTTACCGTGACACGCTTATTTATGGGAGGCGGGCGCGTCCCCCGTTTCCGTTTTTCTACACGGGGGATACGAGGCGAGAGGAGGCGAACGCGCGGCTGACTAGAACCCGAGTCGGGAATTTAGATCGGCGCTTGGACCGGCGTGGAGAACCCTAATCACGCCCAGAGCTTGGTTTCAAATCTGTCTTTTGAAACCATCGATTCAGTAATAATAGCAGCGATAAATAATAATAATAATAATAATAATAATAATAATAATAATAATAATAATAATAATAATAATAATAATAATAATAATAATAATAATAATAATAATAATAATAATAATAATAATAATAATAATAGCAAAAACTGGTGGGATCATAAAACAGAGAAAGCCATAGAAAATGATAAAATTAAACTGCTCTGGGACTTCAGAATTCAAACAGACAAGCACCTGCAACATAACACCCCGGACTTAACAATTGTCGATAAGAAAGACAAAAAAAGTCTGGATAGTGGACGTGGCAGTGCCTGGAGACAGCAGAATAGACGAGAAAGAACTGGAGAAGATAACAAAATACAAAGACCTACAAATAGAAATAAAAAGACTGTGGCAAAAGCAAGCAAGGGTAGTACCAGTAGTAATAGGTGCCTTGGGTGCAATCCCAAAACAACTGGAGCACCACTGGAGCACCACTATTGGCATTGACAAATTCGCCATTAGTTAATTGCAAAAGGCGGCCTTATTAGGAACTGCTTCCATCCTGCGATGATATCTATAATACCATCAAACATCCACATCTGCCTATCCCATGTCCTGGGTAAGGACTCGGTAGGTAGACAAAATGCCAAATCCAGTCTGAACATCTGGCTGACTGTGCGATGACCCATAATAACAAAATAAATGATAATGATAATGATGATGATGATGATGATGATGATGATGATGATGATGATAATAATAATAATAATAATAATAATAATAATAATAATAATAATAATAATAATAATAATAATAATAATAATAATAATAATAATAACGACACCTGGCCCACAAGACGCCTGACATCACTTTTGTGGAAAAGAGGAAAAAAAGTCTGGTGCGTGGATATTGCAATACCAGGTTGATGCACGAATGGAAGAGAAACCGCTAGGAAAAAAAAAAAACTAAATATCCGTGATTTGCACATTGGAGTTGAGAGACTAGGGAGGAAGGAAATCAACGGTTCTACCAATAGTAATAGGAGCCCTTGGAGCCATACCCGAAGGGCCGCCTAGGTAATATGGAAATCCTGAACTTATTAGACCTGAATATCCTGACTTTGCAAAAAAAAAATATCACCCCACGCTCCTGGGAACTGCCTACATACTCAGACGCTACCCTAACAAGCCCTTTCTTAGGTTAGGACTTCTTCAACTGTTCAGTGCTTACCAGTCGCAGACTGTGAATCGAATTGAAGATTAACCGTAATAATATAACGGCAGCCAAACGGAACAGAAAATAAGCAATTCTCCCCGACTCTTCCTTGTAATCATTTTTTCCCCTCTTTTGGCATTAATTTCACCTCCCCCCCCCCCCCCCCCCCCAGGTTCCTGTCCTCCTTCCCTGGTGATCGCTTTGCGCAGGGAAATTGAATTAGCAGCCATTGCAGGAGGCCTTTTTTTCTCTCTCCAAAAACCTCAGCTGGTAAAGCTCTTGCGCAAGGCCCACCCAAGTAGGAAGAGGAAGAGCCGAGGGGCGCCCCAAAAGCGGCTTTCTCCCCGGCATTGTGATCCCGGGCAAAGAAAGGTGTGTGTGTGTGTGTGTGTGTGAGGGGGAACCGGCTCTGGTTTCCTTCGAGGCGGCCAGCGTTGAAAAGCAAAAAAAAAAACTTTTCTAAACTCGGATTAGCCGTCAAATCTTGGACCTCTTCTCTCCTTGGCTAAAGCAACGCGCCAGGATCGGCTCATCTGAGCCTTTATAAACTAGCCCGACTCGGGGGGTTGGAAAGAGCAAAAAGAAAAAAGAAAGAAAAAGAAAAAGAAAAAAAAAACCTCGGTAATAATCGAAAGAGGAAAAACGGCGCTTTGCCGAGACTGAAATGGTTTTGGCCGCGATTAAAGTCTCTTTTCTCTTTTTCTCGAGTCAGGCCTGTTAAAGGGGGGTGGGGGGGAGAGATTTGGGGGAAGGGAAAACTTCTACGAAAAAAAATTGAACGAAAAGAAATAAAATCGACGAACTCGCCGCCGCACCAAATGCACGGCTCCCCTTAACGGTTATTATAAAAGGGACTTCCCCCCATAATAATAATAATAATAATAATAATAATAATAATAATAATAATAATAATAATAATAATAATAATAATAATAATAATAATAATAATAATAATAATAATAATAATAATAATGGAAAGTCGGTGCGAGCGTTTGGGAAACTTGAGCCGGCGCTAACGTCAGCCCCGACGGGGAAGAGAATAAATAGCATTTACCTATATTA